ATTCAATATTTTTTCAGCATCTTCCATCATTTTTATAGACTAAAGAACTTTTCTGGCGATTTGTACTTTGATTTAAATTTGCGCAGGGTTGATAACTTGGATTTCTTGAATATAATAAAAAAACAAAACTTTATCGATACAAACAATAATTCAAAAAATGAATAAAAAAGAGTCTCAAATGAAGAAAAAAAAATCGGCTAACCGGAATGTCAACTACAGTAGGACAAGACAAGACAGAAAGACAGACAGGACTACTGTAGGATAAGACAGAAAGCAAGACAAGATTACTGTAGGACAAGACAAAAAGACAGACAGGACAGACAGGACACACTCTAGCAAACACCTGTAAATAGGTGTTGATTGTAGATTCAACACAAATATCCTTTTCTATACTCGATTACTGAACTAGAGTAAGGCTAACGTCTCCTACTTTTAACCTAATACAGTCTGGTCCATAAGGTCCATTTTATGTTGATTTAAACGGCCAAAGCTTTCATTTAGAAATCTAGAAACCACTCGTTACGATAGAGTACAAATTACGGTAGTTTTAGAGAGCAATTATTGAGAAGCTTTCTCCCCATTCTTACATATTGCCAATTTTCTATCTTATGCATTAGATCCTTTGAGGTTTTTCTGTGTTTATCTCATTGTTTACTTTTTCTTTGTGTTAGACATTCTATTCAGCGCAATCGGGTCAATTTCTATATCGAAAAGTGTTTATCTTTGATCGATCTATTGTTCGTTTTACATAGATCTTTTATAGCTAGTATTTATATCGTAAATCGATCTTGAACGACCTTTATGGACTTAAAGTTTTGCATTTAATTACCCTTTAATCTACCATACATCTTTTTATACGAAATTTTGCATTGACTAGGTGTAAAATTCTAGTTCTTGTTCTAGTCCTTGTTCTTGTTCTAGTCCTTGTTCTTGTTCTAGTTCTAGTTCTTGTTCTAGTTCTTGTTCTAGTTCTTGTTCTAGTTCTTGTTCTAGTTCTTGTTCTTGTTCTAGTTTTAGTTTTCTAGAAGTTCGTTAGTGTAAAATTCTAATTCTAAGTAGTAGCTGGAGTCTTGTAGCCTAGATTTCCCCCTTTTTTCTCTCTCTCTTGATCCCATAATTGATTCTTTAAATCTAGATCTGGCTTTAGAATTGCAAATCTCCTCTAATCTTCGTTTCAAGCATATTTCGTAGATGCTTTTGCATTTGGTGCGGAAGAGAAACGGCACTTTTATCCATTCGACTGCTAAAAAGACTAAAAAGACTAAAAAGAGACCGGCTTGTTGAAAAAAAAAAGAAAAGAAGAAAAAGAGGGAATGCCATTGCACACAAATACACACAAAAAGGGGAATAGATCGGGGGGGAAAACATCGAATCGTCCTGTGTGCACAACTCTTTCATTCTCTTTTCCACCCGCAGCCTACACTCACGTTTTTGCACTCCACCCAATGCTTCCTTTAACCGAAATTCTCGTAAAACCCTACTATTATCATCTTAACAATCGGCATTTTGAATCAAATAATCTTTAATGATTTTTCCTTGGCTATTTTTTCTCATCTGAACTTTTAAATCATTTAAACCACTATAAAACAACTCTCTAGGACTTTTAAACCATTCAGAAACTCTATTGGATACAGGAGGGCTGTTTCAGAAGTAATACCTTAAGTTATTACCATCTACTATTGTATATAAAAGAGCAGTGTCTGTCTGTTCATCTGTGCAGGCTTGTTCTTGTTCTTGTTCTTGTTCTTGTTCTTGTTCTTGTTCTTGTTCTTGTTCTTGTTCTTGTTCTTGTTCTTGTTCTAGTCCTTGTTCTTGTTCTTGTTCTTGTTCTTGTTCTTGTTCTTGTTCTTGTTCTTGTTCTTGTTCTTGTTCTTGTTCCTCAAGTTGGCCTATCAAAAGCGTTTCGAATTGTAAATTACCTTTACTTACTTTAAGCTTTTATATGTTTTTGTTCTCTTTACTTACCTTTACTTACTTTAAATCTTTATGTTCTCATTGAATGTTCTCATTTTGTTCTCATTGAAGGCTAAGAATACATAAGTGCTTAAAACTTTCAAATCTTGTAGGTAACTTCAACCCTCAAGAGCCGAGGGACCCTCAAACATCCACTCCCCGTCGGGAGCCCCGAGAAGAGTCTGCCAACGGAGCAATTCGCTATTGTTTCATTGTTGATTTTTGAATCGAAAGCCGATTCACACAATGTTCGCAAACATTGTCAATGATAGAGGTAACAATTGGTGGAATAAATATGATGAATAAAACTTGTTAACTTATTAATTTATTAAGAATGATTTGCCAAAGATTTTGCCAAAAAAACAAAAATTTCTTTTTAATTTAGTTACTAAAAATATAAATTATACGAGAAATATGGAAATATTTTTATTTTTTATAATATTTATTATATAAACAAAGCTTAAAAGCTCAACAATTGCGCAATTGTTGAGCTTTTAAGCTTGTGTAGTATAATCAATGTTTTCATTGTTTTCATTATTTAAAATAATCTAATCACTTTTTTAGCTTTCGATTTCGCGATTTCCGGCGACTCACTTCAATGACGGGCTCTCGGGGGAGTGGAAACAAACAAAAAAAAAAAGAATGGACATGCAGAAAAATTCCACAAAATTCGAGCATAGAAATAGGTAAAAAAAAAAGAAATTTTCTCTAATAAAGAAGAAAAATTTAGTTTCAACAACAGCCTTTCCATCAAAGTTTTCATTTATCAAATCGGAGCGCTAAAGGAAATAAATTTGGCGTTCACCTATGTGTGAGTTGTGATTCTTTTATAAGTAGACAGGTGATCGGTCGCTTGTTCTTTGCGCTCCGACGTAAACTAAAACGATCTGGCACACAAAAAAATTTGGCGTTCACCTATGTGTGAGTTGTGATTCTTTTATAAGTAGACAGGTGATCGGTCGCTTGTTCTTTGCGCTCCGACGTAAACTAAAACGATCTGGCACACAGAAATCCGAATTTTTCTCGCGATACCAAACTACTGCTGCGAGAAAAATGAGGAATTTCGTGTGCCAGCTCGATTTAGTTTACGCCGGAGCGCAAAGAACAAACGACCGATCGCATATAGTTGTTATCATCAAAAAAAAAAAACAAAAAGACAAATTAATCGGGATTTTATTTAAAAGTTTGAATTAAAAACACATACTTTTTCCAATTTCTGAGTCTTTCGGGACTAGGGATAAGTGTGTTCTTTGCGAGTAAGTCATTACTCGAGTAAAATTTACATGAATAAATTACTTTTGTTCAATTTTGTTCAATTTTGCTCAATTTTGGCCAATTTTTGATCAATTTTGATAAATTTTTATCAATTTTGCTTACTTTTGATCAATTTTGATCAATTTTTGCTCAATTTTGCTCAATTTTGGCCAATTTTGCTCAATTTTGATCAATTTTGATCAATTTTGCTTACTTTTGGCCAATTTTGATCAATTTTGCTCAATTTTGATCAATTTTTGCTCAATTTTGCTCAATTTTGATCAATTTTGCTCAATTTTGATCAATTTTGTCTCAAATTTGCTCAATTTCATTCTAATCTTTTTGCCTTTTAATTTCAATCGATAGAAAATGAAATTCTCCGTCAATTGATAAGCAAAAATCATGTGAAATTGACCGAGATATGCCATTTTTCCGTTGCACACCTATTTGGCGTTGACAACGAAAATTCCCAGTGTAGACACGGATCGCATAGAAAAGGTGATCAATTCATAAGCAACCAAAAAAATAAAAAAACATAAACGTTTTGCAGAAAGTGAGGCCGCACGCAGCGCCGAGAAGCTCTCCCGGTGATGTGTACAGCGCCCTCGTCAGAAGAAGAAACACCAGAATGGATGATTGAAAAAAAAAAAAGGGTAAAGCCTATCAGCTTCAACCCACACCCATCTCATCAACACCGTTTCAAAAAAATTTTTTTCCCTTTTTAACAAATCTTTAAGTCTCTTTAGCTAGCCCGTTGTGTGTTCTCCACCGTGTGTGATCTCTTTCAAAAGATCCCTCGGCTTGGTCCCACTGTGTACAGAGATAGCCTAGTTATCGTCTAGTTTCTTTTTTTTTCTTTCACCTAGTCATCGCTAGTTTTTCTTTTCCTTTTTTTTTGGCTTTATCTTATTTTTCGCCAACCCGATGCATTGAATGTTTTGATTTTTGTGATTTGCTACAGAAACTGCCGTCTACTGCGTGCCGATATTGGGGAATTTTAAGAGTTTTTTTCGAAAACCACATCATTTCGTTTTTTCTAAAAGTTTCCTCCTTAAAATTTCTCATTTTATTCGCGCGTCGCCCCCTATGTATAGAAACGACCTCTCTCCGGATTCCCTTGCCACAAAGAAACCGAAAATTTCTTCACAAATTACACAATATCCGGCGATAATGTTTGAAAAAGAAAATTTATACAAAACACAGATTTTCGAGAGTTTTCGCGTTTTTTTTCCTTCTTCATTTCTTCTAGTTGAATTCGGTGTGAATTCGGTGATTTTCATGGTCTAGTTATTCTAGTGAGACGGTCAGTTTTGATTCGAAAGTTCTGGAATTTGAAACTGACCGTCTGGCGATTGGTTTTGAAAAACGAACATTTAAAGTTAAAAAAAATCTTCAAAATCAATCTCCAAAGCTCAAGTCACTGCCACTGACAGTTCGATAGATGGAAATTCGAAATCGAAGAGAACTTTTTGCGAAAATTCCATCTATCGACCTCTTTCAAGTCTTTCATGTACAAAGGTTTTTTTTTGTATTATTACTTTTTTTTATTTAATTGAATATGTATTTTAATCTAATTGTCAATTTGTTCTTTGGTGATTCGATGAAAATGACTGCGAACTATGATGGAAGGCTCTAGATTGAATAAATTTGCAGGTCCACAAAACACGTCATTGCAATTACACTAAATGACCTAAACCCGTCAATTGTACACTTTATTCAAAAGAAATTGTTAGTAAAAAAATATGAAATCTCTATCAGCTACTAGTTCAATAAAAAATCACCGAATAAATTTACAAAACATCCTTGGGAAGCATGGAATCCTTCGTTTCTTCTTTTCTTACACGTTTCTCTTTTATGGGCATAGATGATGGTTGAAGCTCTTTTCGATATTCGCTAATAAAAAGCCTAAAATTCTATTTGTAACAGAATAGAATCCATAAAAGCTTACTTGGCTTGACTTAGATGTTGTCTGAGTCTTCTCTTTTGGCCTTTATTTGCGTGATATGCGAGGAGAGCTTCCTGGGAAAAAAAAATTAAAGATTTAAACAACCAAAAAACCTTTCGTATGTGTGCAAGCGCCTCCATTAATCGTTCATATTTGTCAATATCTTTTTGAAAAATCTCCTGAAGATGAACAATTATAAAATAGGTGTTGAACATAAAAGTCTTGACCGGTCAGTGTTCACTTGATTGATTGATCACATCCAAATATATTGACCACATATTTTTATAGTTTTATGTAGCATTTTCAAAGCTTATTAAAATGAACCATTTAGCTTTTCGATATCCTTTGAACTAAGAGTTTTAGAGTTAAGCCTTATTTGAGCATGGTTTTTAAAAATCTGTATTTCAAGAATGAAGGAATCCCATTGAAAACGGTTTCAATTAAAATAGCCTTCTTGGATCGTCGATTACTTATTTATTGATTTTGTTCTGGTGAAAATAAAAGGCTACTGGCAGTTTTGAATCCTTGAACAAAATCAGAGAAAAAAGGACCTTACCCTTTTATGCAAAAGTAGCTTGAAAAATTCTATTTAGAGCGACATCAAAAATCTAAGAATATCATCTTAAAGCTCTCACAAGATACTACAGAAAAAAAACTATTTATTTGAATGCGATCTAATGGGAGAAAAATGAGAAAACATTGGCCGGCCAAGACTTTTTTGACGACTGTATGTGCTTGAAATTAAAATGCTAAGCATCTATAAACGCTTGAACGGATTCCTTATACCAGTTTAAATTTTAAAAGCAATGCAATGAAAAACAAACCGGAAATGGATCCTTTTGTTCTTTCTCCGCATCAGGGTCACATTCGGAAATGATAAGAGCTGTTGTGGGAGTCGTTTCTCGTTGATCTTCCGACATCCCTAAATCTAGACACATTAAACATAAAAAAGGCAAAATTTTCTGCAAAATAACATTAAAACGGGCTTAAAATGTCTTATGTTTGGGTTTTTTGGGAGCCTAAAGTCGGGTAGCAAAAAAAGGCCGCGGCTCGATGATGCCGTTTAGACACTTTAGCTAAGGAAACCTATCTTGATCTCAATAGTTAAAAGATAGAGCACAAAAAGTTAGGTGTATAGCCAAATTTTCAGAGAAATTGATTTAGCCGATTTCTTCGTAGAGGTTTTTATAGATTTTGATGAAAAACACGCTTTCACTCTCGAATTTGCTCGAAAGTGAACCCAAATTGACTTAAAAAGATGGGAAATTGAACAATAAACACTTTATTTAGAGAAAACCATAGGTTCCCGTAAAAACTAATAGAACGGTCCCCTATAGGAGAGTCGTGTAGTCTACGTTTACTCTCAAACAAACGATCATATCTCGACACTAGTACGTTTATTTCTGCGCGCTTAGATATCAAATTAAAGTAGACAGGATGGGTGATTTTTTGAGATATCACACATATTTTTAGCATTAACCAGCGCTTAGAAAAAAGTGATTGAAAATTGGCAAAAAATCGACTTTTTTGTAAGAAAGCTGACAATTAAGTAGCAATATAATTGTCGAAAAGATATTCAATGCTTCAATTAAATATCTTTGAATTGTTGCTCTATTTTAGCGTTTTTCATTTGCTTTCGCGTGGAGTTCAGTACTTTCTTTTATAAAAGTTTATAAAGTTTATAAAGAGGTTGGTTTATAAAAGTTCAAGAATATCAAAGTTATCCATTTCTAGCTACATATCTAGTGTAGATCAGGTAGTAGTGTGATTATTCACAGCGAAACAATCGCATACTCTTCTAAAAATTAAATTTGGTCACTTATTACCTAGACTTCTCATATTTCGCGTTTTTTCATACTCACCCGCAAACACTTGACATTTTTGCGATAGCTGGCTTCTCTAAAACTGGGTCAGACGGCTTACGTGTACGCTCGCTTTCTATTTACTACTGCACCTTGTATTTCAAACGACCCAATTTATTGCGTGTCCTTAGTTTTGCTCCTCCTTTCTCGGAAACACAGCTAATCGCTTGTAATCTATACATTTTTCTGTTGAAAATTCAATAACTTACATAATCACGACGATTTAGGTAATGAATCTTCACTTTTGGGCACTTCTATGTCTTTCCTGGATAGCCGATCAATGTGTGTATGCGGGACGGGACTTCTACAAAATTTTGGACGTGTCCAAAGGAGCAACGGAACATCAAATTAAGAAAGCCTATCGGAAATTAGCAAAGGAATGGCATCCAGATCGGCACCCAGATGACGCTGAAGCGCACGAGCGCTTCCAGGATCTGGCTGCTGCTTATGAGGTTGAATTTCTCACATATTATTTGATAAAATCAAGATTTTGCAGGTGTTGTCAGACAAAGACAAACGAAAAGTCTATGATCGCTCGGGTGAAGAAGGTGTGCAAAAAATGGGCGGTGGAGGACATGGAGGACATGATCCGTTTTCTTCGTTCTTTGGTGATTTCTTCGGTGGTGGTGGACATGATGGAGAACAAGAAACACCAAAGGTAAATCCGTTCAAATGTAATGTCATAGATAAAATGTATTAAATCTTTTTTATTTCATTAAAATTTTTAAATGTAGGGTGCTGATGTTGTGTTGGATTTGTTTGTTTCGATGGAAGAGGTCTACAACGGACACTTTGTCACGATTAAACGAAAGAAAGCTGTCTACAAACAAACATCAGGTTAAAAGCTTTTTCAAAAAATAAATACAGTATTTCAGGTACTCGTGAATGCAATTGCCGCCATGAAATGCGAACAGAACAAATGGGAATGGGCCGTTTCCAGATGTATCAAGTTAGTTTGCATGAAATCAAACTAAAATATTCGAATTTTAGGTGAAAGTTTGCGATCAGTGTCCGAACGTTAAATTGATTCAAGAAACAAAAACACTCGAGGTTTGCATCATTTCAGAAATTTCAAAATATCTGAATCTCAGGTCGAAGTCGAGATTGGTGCGGATGATGGACATGAACAGGTATTTGTCGGGGAGGGTGAACCACATATCGAAGGAGAGCCGGGTGATCTCCGTTTCAGAATAAACATTCAAAAGCACTCAAGGTTTGTTCTGTAGGACTTGGCATCCATTATTGAGCTTATTTCTAGATTTGAGCGGAAAGGAATGGATCTTTACACAAACGTCACAATCTCTTTACAAGATGCCCTTAATGGTTTTGAACTTGACATTGTTCACCTCGATGGGCACAAAGTGAAAATCGAGCGCGAAAAGGTAAATGATAATATTGATATGCAAATTTTTCTTTTAGATTACTTGGCCTGGGGCTCGCATTCGCAAGAAGGACGAAGGAATGCCTTCACTTACCGACAACAATCAGAAGGTATTATATTGCAAGATTGAAGCACGATTGTCAAATGTTTAGGGAACGTTATACATCACTTTTGATGTCGAATTCCCGAAAGGAGAAATGACGGCCGAGCAAAAAGCAAAGTTTGCCGAGATTCTCCAACAAAGCTCGAAACCCAAAGTTTACAATGGTTTACAGGGATATTAAGATTTTAAAATTTTGTTGTAAAGCAAGTCATTTTATGCGAGTCTTTCGGGTTTTTGCCTTTTATTAGCTCATTTAGGGGATGTTTGAATTGCGATTTTGTCTTATCTTATGGTTCATCATCATGTATCCCCCACGTTCAAAGAGTGTCTGTGATATTTGTTAGGAATATTGCAATCAAGTGATCTTATTGTTACTTTTGATACCCATTCAGGAATGCTCTCAGTTTTTCGTTGTGTGTGGTTTCTGTTTCATGCTAAATCTTGCCTTGTGATAAAGTCGTGTGTTACCTGTTATTAAAATGTTATCTAATAATAAACTTTTGGATATGCCATGCATGAACCGCTTTCCCAACGTAGAACATGCATAAAATATTTTTACTTCTCAAGTTGTGCATCCGGAGGGTTGTGTGGGATACTCACACCCAATATAGGTGACTAGACCGTCAATGAGGCAATGACCAGCGGGTGTGGCCATCTGAAAGTTCAGTTGGAAAAAGGTGAGCAATTTCTATGCTACGAGAAAACGGGAGCTATCCCAAAATTTGAATAAAAGAGAAAACCTAACACGCTTAACAATTTTTCAATTCAAATGAGGCTTTGCAAATTATTTTTTCCGTTGCCTGAATATTTTTCACCGTTATTTTTTGTTGACTGAATATTCAACACAATAAATTCTTTATATACCGACGATTACACCAACATTTTTATAGTTTCCAAATTCTAGGAGCCGGAAATCTTTACAACATTTACCGACGGCTTCTCCAAATTATCTACCCAAGCGAATTGAAGCTCTACCAGATGAAGGTCTGTCGTGTTTGTTGAATGCTTTTCTTAAACTTAAACTTTAGGCGGCTCTCATCCGATGCGATGTCCGTGGGTGCACGGCCCGTCAGCACGAGCTTCTTCTCTGCACTCAATGCAACACTTGCCGATGTTTGAATCACATCAACGAACATGCGGCCAAAACGAGCACTCTTGGGAAACGACATGATTTTGGTAAGTTTTTGTTTGAGAGTAAACAAATAATTACATTAATAAGCCAGTCTAAATGATTGATTGCTAAAATTGCAGTTTATCATTGATTTTAGCTATTTCACTCGAATATGGGCATATCTTCTGCAACGATTGCCATGATTATGTGTATACTGCGGAGATGGAAAGGCTACGAACCGAAGCCTACGATTCGAACCAGTAAATAATTTTTGAATACGTTAAATATATCTTTACTTTTAGGCGATTTTTGGGGTTGCCACGTAGCGGACAATGGTCTTTGAATACACATTGTATTGAGCCCATCGCAATAACATCCTCATCAAATATTGCTGATCATAGTTGGTTGCTTAAGTTAAAATAATTCAAGCATTTTTAGGCCTTCGTGGTATTGTGAATCTGGGTAACACGTGCTTTATGAATTCGATTATTCAGGTTACATTATTATTTGCATTCATTATATGTTAAAACTTTAGTCGCTAGTACATATGCCCGCGATGAGAGATTATTTTTTGAGTGATCAACATACTCATCCAAATACTTCCAAGTCCGTGTGCTTAATGTGTATGGTCAACGAAGCATTTCAAGTAAATCTTTTGATTAAATTGTTTTCTCTATGAAAAGTTTAGGAGCTTTTGCAACCAAACTGGGAAGAGCCCGTAGTTTTGAAGCAGTTATTGGGTTTTCTATGGAGTTCTTCAAAACAACTTGCTGGGTTCGTTAAATTTTGTGACAATGACAATTTTGACAATTTGTTTTAGTTATCATCAACAAGATGCACACGAGTTTCTAATTACGCTACTTGAGCTATTGCACAGTCATTCAAAACGTGAGTAGCTAGCAAATTGCATTAATATTTTCTTTTAGCAATTGAATCACCAATACTTTCTACGGATTGTAAATGTGTTATCGACAAAATCTTCACCGGACAAATGCAATCGGATTTGACATGTAATAGTTGCAGGTAAAAAACGCTAAAGGTTATCGTCAAAAAAGGTCAATTTTAGCCACGTCTCCGTTCGTGTGGACCCGTTCCTCGACATTGCCCTAAATGTGCCAATCCCTGTAAACGGCGAACTTGAAGCCATAACTCTTGAGAAATGTTTGGACAGGTATCTTTTGTTTTGCATATACTTTTAAAATTATTATCAGATATGTCCAAAACGAAACGATTCCTTGTACAAATTGTGAAAAATGTGGAGGTCGTGGATTGACGAAGCAATTGACGTTCAAGTATAAGCTGATTTTGCTTTAAAAACGTTCAATTATTTAGGAAGCTTCCCATTGTGGCGATTTTCCAGTTGAAACGTTTCCATCACGAGGGACAATTACGAAAAAAGATTTCATCAATCGTGCGGTATTAGATATTTTTAAGTGCTATTTATTCTTGTCTTGAAGGTTTCCAATGGAACTCGATATGACTCGATATTTGACCGCCTATCACACAGATGCCTCACAATTTGACTCGAATAAAGGAAGCTGCTCAGCGCTAAAACGTCAATACAATAGGTAACTGTTATCAAACTAGTCGGAAATAATTCTTTGTACATTTGCAGGTACGAATTGTATGCTGTAGTTCAACACTCTGGTTCAATGGACACGGGGCACTACACGTGTTTTGTTCGACGAGGTCAACAATGGTTTAAATGCGATGACGACGCGGTGAGAGGAAATATTTTATTTTTAAAACTTTTAATTTTAGGTCTATGCTGTTCCGCCAAGCACGGTCTCCATGGCTGAATGCTATCTTCTCTTCTATCAAACTACGGCGCTCAAGTTCCAGTCACCTATGGACACTTCGACTTAATTTCGAAATTCGACAACGTTGGAGATCTGTATATTTGTTATCAGGGTATTCTTTCATATCGCTTTTTTTTATTCTTGTGAAATAGTAAAACAGATTGCTGAGAATAGAAGCATACCCATGAGAATTATAAAATGTTACTTTTTCATTGCGTCGGGTGGATATCCGCCCTATTTCGGCAGTTTCTTTTACAATTCTGTAACTTTATGTTGTTATCAGCATAGGCATTTTGGCTTTCTTTGTTATACTTTTCCGAAATCTTTCAATCCAATACTGGTTTAATTATGATTTTTAACTTGTTTTATCGCTACGGGTTCGAAACTTACTTAATGATCTTGTATAGCTTTCCGAAAACAGGCTGGTGAATTTTCAGTGTAAAATAAAAGGATTTTTGTAGCCACAATCAAATATTGATTTGTTAAACGGTGGATTTATACAACCAGAAAATATTTGATGATGCAATTTTCTTGCAAATTTGACATTTGACGGTGCAAAGCTTTTATTTTGTGATCTACTCTTTACCAAATTCTTTTTTTAGTGTTCAGCATAAGAAATAACCAGACTGGGTAAAGTATCGGTGTCGCGTGATCTGAAATGGAGAGCCGGACGAAAACGTCCCATGAAAACCTGGAAGAAGGTATAATAATTTTTTTTACGATTTTCAAATTAGTATAAATCTTAAGGAGAAGCTTCAACAACCAATAGTTCAACAAAGGGTAACGAAAATGCGACAGCAGCGAGTAGCGCCAATACCGACAAACGAGCCAGGACCTTCGACCTCACAGCAATTTTTGAAGAAACAAAAAGAGTATACTTCGAATGCTTATTGATGTGTATAATATTAATTTTAGACGGCACAAACCCAGTTCGCGGAAAGCCATCTTGCCAAAGAAGAAGAGAAAGGCTCTGAACGTACGTTTTTTTCAAACTGTTTCTAATCGCTTTTGTACGTATGCAGTCATTTACGACTTGATTTTTTAAATATTAGATTCACAGTAGATTTTTAGACTCTGCTCGCCAAGGTACAAGCAAAGCGCAAACTTCACGAGAAAAGGCGCACGAGAATTCTGATGGAAGAGTAATAAAGAAACATATTTCAAATTTTGACTTTTGTTTAGGGTACAAATTCGGATGGAAATGGAGCTGGACCTGTAGCTGCAGAAGAAGCAGATAGTGATGATGGTAAGCGTTAATTCATTCCCGACACATTACTACAAACGAGATACACTTGAATTCCTTCATTTAGATTTCATGCCTTCTCTACCACCAGGTTTTGCACCCAAAAATGATCAATCAGCTAAAGACGATGAGAGTGATGGCGATGATTTTGCCGATTATGCCGGCGAAGGGGTACGCACTTTTTCTCCAGCTTGTTACAGTTTATCTAAAAATTTAGCTGCCTGTAATTAAACTTATTCCGGCTGCAAGTGAAGTTACGTTGGAACATGGATCTAAGATGGCGGTTTGTTGAGCTTAGGGTTAGGCATAACGGCTCAACCGTTTTTAGGTAACCGCAATAGCTTTTGATGGACCAGGAACGCGATTTTTGGCTGGTGGATACGATTGTTCGCTATCGATGTTTGAGTTTCAAAAGATGGATCGCTCCCTGAAAGCTGATCGAGTTGTGGAGCCTTGCGAAAAGTGAGTATCGGTTATAGTTTTTGAATTTGCGTATTTTTAACATGCAATTTTAGCAATGTGATTCATCACCTTTCTTTTCACCAAACGGTGAAAGTATCATTGTTTGCAATGGAAGCCCCCAAGTAATTCTTCTTGATCGTCGTGGCACGCGGTTTGGGGAAACTGTAAGAGGTAAGTAAGTTGCAGGTTTTCAATAAATTTATGGAAAATTTAGGTGATCAGTACCTTGTTGATTTGTCTAACACAAAAGGTCACACGGCAACGGTTATGTGCAGCGTTTGGAACCCAATCGTGAAAGGAGAATTTTTGACGTGCTCAGATGATGGGTTTGTTTTGGAATGTCTTCTTTATACGTTAATTCCTTGTTTAGTACAATTCGTTTTTGGCACTTAGATGATTTCAAACAAATTACGAAGCAAATCAACAAACAAAGAAAGGTAATAGCTTGAGGAGTACTTGTTTACCGTTGCTTTAGATCATTAAACTAAAGAATGCGAATGGAAAACGAGCTCAGCCGCAAACTTGTGCTTTGTCATTCGATGGAAAACTTGTCGCCGCTGGATGCGGAGGTTGGTTAGATTTTCTGTTTATGTTGATGTCAGTGTTGCTATAATATTATATCATTTTAGATGGCTCACTTCAAGTGTGGAAAAACTCAAAAATAATTGTGAGTTAAATACTTTATATCTCTAAACTGTTTTTTAGGTTAGCACTACTTACTTGGTTCGAAAAGCTCACAATGGTGCAATTACATGTGTTCGATTTTCTCATGACGGTAAAAGGTTTGTATTAAAATGAATGCATCTATCAAAAACATTTTCAGACTCCTTACCCGTGGCTTGGATGGAGCCTTAAAACTTTGGAGCCTTGACGATAATAAAGCTCCTTTGAAAATGAAAACTGGACTGCACACCGAATACAAAGAGTAGTTTTGGCGCAAAGTTTTACGCAATGATTTAATTTATTAGGTCTGATTGTGGCTGGGCGCCCAGAGGTGAGGTGATCTATGTGACCTGTTCGCCAGCGACCGAGGGTGGAGCTGGCTCTTTGCAGTTTCTGGATCCTGAGACTTTCGAAGTCGTCTACAAGATTGAGTACCCAAATGGAGTGGTTAGTTTTAATATATAAAGTTTTACTTATCGTTTCATTTAGAGTGCGATTCGGTGTATATGGCATCCGCGTCTTAATCAGATGCTGGTATCACTTTCAGGTATAAACGCTGGGTTAAAAGTATCTATTTGTCATTAAAGATGGAACACTTCGTATTTACTATGATCCTGAAACATCATTGATGGGTATCAAGCAATGTGTTACTCGACCACTTCGCCGCTCGAGAGCTGAAGAAGTGATTAAGGAGGAGATGATCTTGGCTCGTAAGTTTTCACTTCGATAAGCCAACATGAAGTTATATGTCATTTACTAAAACTTTTTAGCACTCGCACTCGAAATGTTCCAAGGTCGCGGCGAAGAGCCGGAGGATAAGGTAATGTTTTGAAATTTTTAAAAAATTTAGCCTATAACATTAGGAAGTCACCGAATGGCGTTTGCGACGTTATTTGCGAATGAAAGACAACGAGATCCGAAAACCGTTCAAAAAGCCTGCCGAGATGCCGCTGAGTGGTCCCAGTACCGGTGGAAGGAGTAAGTCTTTTTGTTTTTGCATCATTTTTTATATTCGTTCAGTTAATAAAACGGGTGGCACCATTCATTCGTTCTTGGCACAACAGATGGGAAAAGAGCGAAACAAGGATTTCTTGGCCGATAATGATGTTCGAGCCAGTATCTTGCGCCACGCAGAAGCGGTCAGTAGTATTATAAATCTATTTGAAAAACTCGGATTATTTTTCAATGAGTAATTGCAGGCAGAGGCTGAGCCACTTTATGTCGCAAAAGCTTACGCAAAGACCCAACCGGTGACGTTGTTCCAAAACAAAATTGCTGATGACGATGATGAAGAGGAAGAGGCTCCAATGATGAAACGACCCAAAAGAGAGTAATATATTTTCCGCGTAGTTAACCAAGTTATCGATCTCTCAATTTTTTTGAAAAGTGTTAGTAAATCTTCATATACTTGTTATACCGGTTGTCTGATATTAAACCCTTGTTAATTTGTCTATATTGCGGATGGTAATAAATTTCTTCAAAAGATGGGTGAAGCAGTAAAAATTCGGACATTGTCGCTGGACTTGTAGGTGAGTCTACAATTAATGAAGATCGACTAAAGTTAGCTTTCTTGGAGTCAATCCAAAATTCCCAAAGAATCTCATTGTTTGCAGCTCTTTCTTCGATCAGAGAAAAGGGCAAAGTCTTGGAAAAATATATGGGTGAATTATTCATCATCGGTGTCTATCATCGAGCGTCGTTTTCTTTCCGATCGCTGTGGGAGCCGGATCACGGCTCATGCAAATTTCTCTTATCTTTCTCCCACTCACATTCGCTCTCGAAGTCCGGTTTTCCCGGTTCGACTGTATACCAATTTTGGTGTTTGTTATCAACATTTTTGAACGGAAATGCTCTAAAGATTTTATTCCCACATCCGCTTCATATTTTTCGTGACTGGCGCGTTTTTTGTTGCTCGAAATATCTAGTATGACTCAGAAAAAAAAGGATGGTTTCTTTTTTTCTTTGCCGCACCCTATAATATTTGTTGATCTCAGGCTCAGGTTGATTTTGTGTGATTTTTCCGTCATCTAGTTTTCTCACATGCAGAATTTTTCGTTATAAACTGACAAAAAAACTAAAAACTTGGAAATTGATGTTTTTCTTAAAGAGCTTTTATCAAGAGTCATTTAAAGAAAAAAAAAGCCAGCTATAATGCTTTTGATTGGATTATTTACTATTGTTACTATTGAGTGTTTTCCCTCGCAAAGTAATACGTTTTTTAAAACGCACACTTGCGAAAAATTACCATACTTTTGGCGAAAATTATTGCAAAAATTGGGGTCGACTAGTTTCCGAAATTTTTTTTTGCGCAACTCACCATAACTTCCTTCTAAGTTGACCAATTTTTATGATTTTGGTTTCATTTTGTTGCACTTATTGAGATCTACAAAATGAGACCAAAAGCATAAAGATTGGATGACTTAGAAAAAAGTTATGGTGAGTTGCGCAAACGACACAGTGGCGCAAATAACCCTGTTGCGCAAAAAAAGTTGCGGAAACTAGCCTACCCGGCCTACCCCAAAAATTGACGCGAAAAAATCACGAGCGTTTAGTTATACCGTATTTCTTCGAATAGGAGACCGGGTAAAGAGTATCATCGCGTACTCGTGCGTAGCAGCCCTTTTTAAAATTTCTTTTCTGCATAAAAGCTTTCAATCAAGTGCTATAGGGCTGAAAAATGGCTTTTCAGCAAGAGC